AAGTAAGCAATGCTGATGAAACTATGAAAAAAGAATAATTTATTTTAAATTAATAATTGGCTCGTCAATGAAGTAACAAAGCCAATATTATTGCGTGATTGAAAATGACATCATTGTATATGGATTTGTAAATTCATATGAATCATGTGAAAGTGAATATATATGAGGAAAACTCTTCATTAGAAGATCTATCTTTGGTTTTGTTATCGCCAGCATATGATATTTGGCTAGCTTCATCATCCTACCTATCTTGTCTAAAAAAAGGTACTATCTAAATTAAAGATTAATTTTGAGGCTCCATAGCTGTATAGCAGTACTTGGGTTTTAATTGTATTTCAATTACTATATGATATAAAATCTGTTTAATATGATCGCAGCTCAGTTTCAGTAGCGCAGTGACCATTCAATCAATAACTAACTTGTATCTTATAAAAATAGACATTAGCAAATATAAGACTTCATGGCTGGTAGCAGTGCAATGACTTTATTTGCAGCTCAATAGTTATTGTCACAGATTATTGTGAAATCGGATTATCGTAAAATTTGGATCTATTTTATGTACGATTTTTAAAAATTTTTAGGACCTTTTTTGTAGGCTTTTTTTTATAGTTAAGTTAGGATTTAGAGTTAGAATTATTAATAAAAGAGTATAGGTAGATTTTGGTAGAGTTTATATTTTCAAATCGAGACCCCAAATTTCATAATAATCTGATTTCACGATAATCTGTAACAGTTATTGATATAGAGTACTCTGTCAATGTTTTTAGCTTTCAATTAAGTATCTTATACCGCTAAGTGTTAATAGGGCTCTATAGCTGTGTAGCAGCGCAAGGATCTTAATTGCAATGATTACCTGGCCAATAGTTTAAATATCATATACAAATAAGCATTGACAGATGTAAAGCTCTATGGATATATAACAGTGCAATAACCACTTGATTAATAGTTAGCTTGTGCCAAGATGAATTATATTAGTTATAGGTCTAATACTAGCCAGATTAAATGGTTAATATTGCTAAACAATTAGTATTTAAGGAAATTTTAGATAGTTCAAACCCTAGTATGAGGGTTTTATTTGTAGCTCAATGACTATATATATAATAGAGTCTGCTTTAGACTTGTTTGTGGTATCGTAGGGGAATTAGGTTTTCTTAGACAAATAAAATAATTTTTAGCTTGTCTAAAATTTGTCTGAGTTTTTTCATTCTGCCTTGCCAACCCACCAGATATCCTTAAATTTATTTGGTAGATATAGTCTATTAAGATGATGGTCACAAACAATAATTTGTCTATACACGAGTAAACAGAACAAAATGAACATAACTGTAATGATCCTCTTCGAAGTACTCTGTGGCAGCGATTCCAAATCCTATATGTATTTTCCTTCATAATAAGATTCGATCGAGCAATAATAATACACAAATGTTAGAACATGTCCTAATTTATAAAAAAATATTAACCATAATAATAATCATTTAGTCATTTAGTCATTCAATAAATTACCAGATAAGTTTAGTTTGTTCATTTTAATGGCTGTGTTTCGAAAGAATATGATTAAATTGCAATCATTTAATTATTCATAAATTACCAGAATAAGTATGAAGTTTATTTTAAGGACTGCGTTTCGAGAAAATATAATAACTATTGCACTTCGCATTATTATATATTGCTGTAATTAATTTATAAAAGATATCAAAGTTGCATTGTATATCAACTATCATGTCCTATAACAATGTCTTATATCACTGTTGCGTTCTACATCAACTATTGTATTCTAAATTATTATAGCACTTTTGACATAACAACATATCAATTAGAAGCTATATATCTGAATCTATATTGCAGAATATATTTTATTTTAATTTTTAATATAAATAGAACCACAACTGTTACAACTTAAAGCTGGCTAGAAAGTTTTTTTTAAAGTTAAAATTTCATAAAGAAAATTTTTTGTTAGTATGCAGAAAGCAGTTTCATAAGCAAAATGTAGAACTATAAATGATTTTTTATTTGTTTTGATTTTTCGTATTTCTTCGTGTAATGCTCGATTTTGAAGTCTGTTTGGCCTGGAAAATTTTTTAGTAATAATACTAGGATAGTTCTCTCTAATACTTCAGATGATTCGCTACGTATAATAACCAGGAGAGAATTTGTAATAAACTGATTTTTGAATTCACACTACTATCTAGTGATGTCTGGTCTATCCTGTTCGTTTAGACTATTAATGGTTAAAAGGATATCAGTCTATATAATAAAAAAAATTATTAGAAATTTTATACATAAAACAAAGCTTATCAAAAATATAGCTATTATTAATATAAACATATATTAATAATAGCTAGTTTATTTATATTTTTGATAAGTTTTTATCAAGCTTGATATTTATATTCAAATATTAAAACATACTTGGAGTGCTTCTTTGATATTATTTTCACTACTGATATCAATATTTATACTAGCATCACTTTCACTGCTGCTGCTTCTGCTGCTGCTGCTAATAATAATTAGAGAAACCAGAAACTTTTATTTTCTTTCTATATATATATATATATATATATATAAAAATAGCTTGCTTTACAATATATAAAATTACAATATATAAAATTCTTGATAGATATGTTATCTTTGGAAAATGAGGATAAAAACAAAGAACAACTTTTCTTGCTTCTACTTCCTTGGGCTATAACAGGCCTCCTGTTTCCTTGTATTGCTTTCTTCTATACAAAACAACTCTTTCACTACTCATATTTTTTTATTATAAAAAATATACTAGTGAAAAATTAAGTAAGAAAGTAAGAGTTACGGATAAAACAAAACCAAAAAAGAATTGTGAAAAGATACTTATCTTATTTATATTTTTAATGCTTTGAAAATTACATATTGTTGATAAAATATATTGATATATTCTTCATTGGTAAAATAAATTAATATATTTTTCACAAATTGTATAGATAAAATAAAAATTGACAAAATAAATGATCTTTTAATTACATCAATATCAATTGAGAAATTACAATATTTTTTACATGTCATGCTATATTTTATGCAAGTAATATCGAGAATTTTTTTTCAATAAAAAAATTCTAATATTAATATGTGACATTAGCATATCAGAAATTTTGATTAAAAAATTTATTATTATAACCAAATTTAGTTATATGATATAATTATGGATATATTGATATCAGAAATATTTAGATAAAATTTTGATATAAATAGAGAACTGATACTTATTACAGAAATATAACCATCTTCAGAGTTAGCCATTTGACAATTACAAGTTCTAAAGTAATTATAGTGTAATCTTTATATAATTGATTATTTTAAAGCTTGCAATTGTTAAGTGATTAATTATTTTAGAACTTGTAATTGTGCCAAATGACTGAAACAATTACAAGTTCTAAAGTAATCATAATATAATCTCCATGATTGATTATTTTAGAGCTTGCAATTGTCAAACAATTATTTATTTTAGAATTTATAATTGTACCAAATGACTGAGACAATTACAAGTTTTAAAGTAATCATAGTGTAATCTCTATGATTGATTATTTTAGAGCTTGCAATTGTCAAACAATTATTTATTTTAGAATTTGTAATTGTGTTAAATGACTGAAACAATCACAAGTTCTAAAGTAATCATAATATAGGGGGTGAGGTGGTAAAATTAACATCTTTGATCAATTATGGCCTCATAAGTAGTGTAATACATTATGATGATATCAATTTTCTCCCATACTCTCCAAACGTTAATTCACCAAAAACTGAATTCTTTAATCTTTTCTTAGGATTCAAGGCCAAACCGGCATCTCAAATTAATTATGATCTTGTAAAACCCATCGTCTGGCATATATAAAATATCTGATGTAATGGAGATAAAAATCTTTCTGAATATGTTCTAAAATGGCTTGCATTCTTAGTTCAGTATTCAAGTATAATTCCTAAGACGATTCTTGTTTTACGCTCCCCACCACGATGTGGGAAGAATATTATCACTAATTTTATTCGAAAAAGTTTATTCGGGCCAGATCTTGTATTCTCGACTTCTGATTTAGGGAAGATTCTTGGACGGTTTAATAGCTCTATCCAAGCATGAAAACTTATTATTATGAATGAAACAAGAATGGCTAGTGGTGAATAGCATAAGGCAAATGATCATTTAAAAGCTCTTATTACAGAAAACTATGTTTTAATTGAGCGCAAAGGCCTTAAATCTCAAGATTGTAATCATTTTCTAGATTTATGATTTTAAGTAATCATGATGCCCCAATTCGAGTAGAAATGGGAGATGGGCGTATCGTATGTTTAGATGTCTCTCCCCGCTATAAAAATAATTTTGCATATTTTGACCAATTGAGAGAGATTCTCAAGCATCCTGATACGCCTGGATCTTTTATGTCATATCTGCTTAGTCTTAATCTTTCTGGATAGAAGCCACGTAAGATTCCTTTAACCAAAATGAAAATAGAAACTATGCGAGACCAACTATCTAATCCTATTCAATTCATAATTGATTATATTGCATCATAGCCTGAAGATAAAGTAGCTAAGCTAAGTAGCAATATATTATATCAGGAATATTTTGATTGGTGTGGAGGCAATGGGAAAAAACCATTTTCTAACAACATTCTTGGTAAGAAATTCTCAGAGATTAATATCGAACGCAAGAGGCAAGTGGTGGGAAAAGGAAATGCCAATATATTCTCGATCACTCCAAAATCATAACTAAGCTCCGTGAATCCGGCCTAGATAATATCGAAGAATTTTCTAATACACCTCAACCTGACTTACCTGAAAATGAGACAACAGATATACCCATATTCAATGTGCCAGAATTTATTCCTCCAAAAATAATCCTGCCTCAAGCAGAAAAGAATCTCTCTCCTAGTGATAAGAAAGCAGATAAACAGAAAAATCCAACCCAAGCTCTATTCGACTATGTGGTAGAAGAAGCTGAAACACTAGTTGCTTTAACATTTGGGACTTCTGAAACTTCTAAGATGTCTAACCTACCTGAGCCAAAAATCATTGGGCGGTTTCAAAAGGACCAGCTTGAAACTAGCAAACTTCTCGAACCTATTGAGCTTATAAGTAGAGTAGCGCCTGATACGCCTTCTAAAGAAACTGATTCTTTCAAGCCTATCAATGAAGTACTATCTGCCATACTTCTGAACAGGGCCCAGCATGAAAAGCACCTCAGAAAAAGGGCAATTGAACTTGGTGAGGATCCTGATATATTTGTAACTATTACAGAAAAGGACAGGCTCGACTCTATTGCATTCTGGGATAGAATGGAAACTGATACTCGGATGTGCGGTTATGTAAAAGAGGGGGAAGAAGACCCTAAAGAATATATGGATATGTCAGTGCAGGAAAGATTGATAGGAGAAGAAATAATCCGTTGTGACCTTGAAAATAAGAAAACCACATCCTCCTGGCTCGATACCGATGAGGAGTGGCAAAAAAAAATAAGCATACTCCAGGAAAATGGTATGCTTTGGTAAAGAGCGAATTATTATTATTTTTTTCGAATTAAAAAATAACTAGATTAATATAACTAGATAACACTTACTATTGACATGGCTACTAAAACAGCTTCTCCAAAGACCTGAAAACCTAAAGTTAATAACTTTGTATTGGTCTTAGAGCAGTTTCTAGAAAAGCATAATTTGACGGCCAACTCTACCCCAGAACAATTAAACAAACATGCTCCCAAATTCGATATATTACTTCCTGATTGGATGGCTCGCAGGTATGTTAAAGTTGCTCTTGTCAGAGGACTAATAACAGACGCTCATTTAGTGAAGAGTGAATTGAGGCTCTCTTATCAGATAAGAGAAAAGAAAAACTCACCATAGAGGAAAGGGCAAAATATTGTGCTAAAATCGGTGATGCTATGGACATTTTCACCCATCATTTAGATTTAGTCCCAAAAAATGATTATGAAAATAAAATAGTTATCAGTGGTTCACGCTAGTTGCAATTTTGTGTGAAATTAGCAGAAGGCAGGGTAAGTCCTGAAATTATTAATATCTATGCCAAAGATCCAAAACTTATTCAAGAGTCTAATAAAATTCAGAAAAAACAAACTAAAAAATGAATGGCTAATCCAGATCGAATTCCAATACACTTCTCGTCAGCAAGAGTGCTTAAAAGGATTCAGAATATGGATGTTTCTAAAATTCTATCTAAAGAAGATCTCATGGATGTAATTGTGATGTTGAGTATGAGACCTACAGAAGTAAAGTCTCTTCGAATTAATCACTATAAACCGGATCCTTCAAATATTCCAGCATGGTACAAAGATGGCTATGCTTGGTATTGCACATGTTATTTAAAAAGTAGAGGAGGGAAGAAAAAAAATCACGAGCCCCGACCATTTCTTTCCATGGAGAAGAGCCCGGAACACACCAGAGAATTACTCACCTGGATCCAAAATACAATCAAGACAAAAAAGTTGCGTGATCCTGTCTTTACAGAAAATGAAACGCATAATGCCTGGCCATTTAACGAATTCTTAAAACAAGAACTTTATTGAACTATACCTAAAAAATTAAGAGATTATGGAAGTAAATACGCTTCCAGAATCTATGGTGATAAGAAACCAACACCCCAACATCTTAAATTGCTTTCGAGAATTGCAGTGAGGCAAGAATCAGACCACCTTGATGCAGGTGATAATTACGCTATAGGCGATACAGAATCAGAGGAGTCTGACTCCGAATCAGAGACAGGCGACAGTTCAAAACCCCAAATACAGGCTTCTTCGTCATCTCAAACAATAGAAATAGATTCAATGTTAGCTGAAATTGATGCAATGTTAGCTGAAATTCAGAAATAAATATCAGAAGGAGGGTTGGGTAGTGAGCACTTGTTTAGAGAATTTTCGCTGGGCCCTCATGAACATGAGACTTAAATTGTCCACTATTTTCCTAATTCTATTTCCCTTTTTTCTCACAAGCTCAAAAAAAGATATATGGTTAACTGTTTCAGAAACTAAAAATCTGTTAACTAACTATATCTGGCTTCGAGCAAGAATTGCGAGAAGGCAGGATCACAATTGAGAGATATATTTTTATATTAATATTTTTTTCTTATAAATTGGCAGTGTCGAAATGAAATAAAAATCTATGAAGTGTATATCCCTTCTTTTCACTAATCATTCATGATTGCCAGTAGATTGATCAATCCTTGGCTCATACTAAATAATTCATGAATAAATAGATCGCTAAATCTGAAATTAGTATCTAAAATTATTTTTTTTAGTCATAAAGAATATACTATAAATAAGCTATGTATAAAGAATTTTATTGTAAAAACTTATCTGTACTTGTTTCGCTGATATCATCATGTCTCTTGCTAATCTTCAAAACCTTGCTCTTAATATTTTAAAAGAAACAAAACATAATGCAGTACAAAATATTGACATTACGGAATTGCCACCATGTAAAATATGTAATAAAAAAATTTTAACGGTTAACTTTGAATCACTTACAATACTTCC